CACCGCAGGGCTGGGGGGCTGCAGCCATGAGGCGACGGTAGCACCTCCAGAGCGAGCCTTGCTGATCTCATCCTGACGCTGGTGCCTTGAGACAAGCCTGCACTCACCCCGGGCTGCGGGGGCTTTTTGGTGGCTGCTAAATTTATTTTGCTTTCATTATTTGAGTAAACCTGGGAAATTTTTAAACACCACAAATGTTCCCCGAGCGGGAGAGGCCTCGCTGCGTTCTCTCAGCTCTGTGGCCTGGTGTGTGGGCTCTCCCTGCTCTCTGTGCATCCTTGCAGCTTGCTGCCTACAGAAGTATGTCCCAAAAATACACAGGTTGCTTCCCAAAGTCTTGTCCTCGGGCAGCCTGGCCTGTTTCGGAAACGCTTGAGAAAGCAGCGCTGAAATCTGTTCCAGGTGTTAACAGCCTGCACTCTGCAGGGACTCACTCAAAGCCTTTCTGTGCCCATCTGTGTGTTTCTGTAAGTGTTAAATACTGTGAAAACACAGCCTTAATGTGGTATGTGGTTTGATGGCCTGATCTGGGGGCAGGGGCTGGGGGCTGGGCAGTCATTTGTGCGTGATGCTGTTTCCTCATTGTTGTAAACATCCGGCTGTCCTCGTCTCCAAAGGCTTTCCTATGGGTTCTCTTTCCCAAACTGCACCCAGCCTCCCTTCCCCTGAAGTGAGTGGTGTACATCATTCTCTTTTGTGCCACATGGGAGGCTGGTTTTGGGGTTTTTTGGTCTGGTCTGCCTTCCTGGAATGTCTTAACTAGATATTCCACACAGTTAACCACGGTGTGCTGGTTTTAGTCAGCACAGAGCGACCATATCCATGAGTTCTCACAGGCCTTGCTCGTGTGGACTCACACTGACATCCAGACTGTTTGGCCACTTACTGTACAGATGTTTAAGCCACAGCAGTGCCAGTTCTTGTAGCTGCAAGCCATTTCTAGTTGCAGGAAACTGATGAAGAACAAATGAGTTAGCACTTCACCCAAGTGCCTTCCTGTTGCACGGATAGACCGAGGCTGCAGCTACTTTGCTGCTCTGCCTGTGCACAGGCTGCTGGCAAGGATCAGAGATTTCACTGACCTGCTTTCTGGCCACATTATCGCAGGGTTGTTGGCCGTCCCCTCCTTGGCCCATGGAGTAGATGGATACAGGACAGCTGGGATGAGTTGTCTAAATTAGGCACTTTACTTATAGACATTTAAATGAAAGCAAGATTAATTCCACCTCAACCTTCAACATATGAGTAGGCGGCTGAGCTGAACTTTTAATTGGTTGTTTGGAGGTTTAAGTGGTTGTTTTGGTTTGGGTTTTTCATTTGGTTTTGTTTTTTCTCCAGGACATCCAGTTAGAACCAACATGAGGAACAAACTGTGGCTCCAGAGTATTTCCTTCTTCCTTTTATTCCACTACAGTAAGTTCCCAGATAGCCTTTCCAGGCTGTACATCCACAGGATTTGTCTGGGTGGCCATTGGCACAGGCTCTGCTGAGATGTGCATGGCACAAGGTTGCTGTGGGACAGCAAACACAAGATAGGGTACCGGAGGGAGGATTCCTTGGGATAACAAGTTAGGGAAGAGGCTCCATGGCCAGTGAAGGACAGATACAAGAAGGGGCACAGCTGGGCAGAGCTCAGCCAGGCTGGGAGCAGCACCAGCGGGGAGACTGCAGAGGTGGTGCCTGCCTTGCGTTGAGATGTCTCCTGGTGACATGAGAGTAGGATTTCCCCCCAGAAACAAACCTTTGCCATAGGAAAGGCTCTGGTGGCCAAGACCAGGATATCCCCAGGGCTTACAGCTGCTGTGGCAGGCTAGCCAGGGCAGTGGAGCGACCCTCTCCTGGCCTGGGCCCCTTTGCTCAGGACGGCACTGTGCAGTCACTTCCCCTTTCTTGCCGGTTCCTACCCCCCGCGCAAGCTCCAGCTTGCTCCAAGCTGGCTTTCTGAACAGAGCAGCTGGACAGAAAGGCAGCGACAGCCTGGGCTGCAGGGACACGTGCAGCTTAGCATTTCACACGCTGCTCCTACGCCGAGCACTGGGCCTGCTCCAAACCTAACCTAGCAGAAAAGATGAATTCCGTTACACCTTCCTGCCGAACGGGACATGGTGATGTCTGGTCTGAACCTGGTGTAACTCAAGCCAGGGAACCACCCTGCAGTCATTTCAGGCTGGACCAAACTAGATATTACTGTTAAAGGTATTTGATTTTTTTTCTTTTTAATTATTCTGAAGATGCCGAGAATGGACAATTATTCCGAGATCTAACTTGGTTTAGGACACTTAATTATGCCCTTCCCAGCAAAAGTCTGTCCTCTTAATTTTGTCAACAGATTCTTGCCCAAAGGTACACTTGCATCTTACCAGCTACCTAGGAATAGTAGTCCATTTGAATTATTAACATAATAGCACTGAAGGATTCTAATTAGCAGTACTTATTAGCTTATTAATACCTGCTGCCCCCTCTAAAGGAAAGCAAGGTCTTTATAACCCTGTTTTTGTAAGCAAGTGAAGTTAGGCTAAGACAGAAAGTACCTTGTTCAGAACTGTGGAACAAGCAGCGCTCAGAAGAGCCAGTTGAGGGCTCGAAATTAAACGTTGATGAAAATTGTGGAACAAAACTTTGAAGTCAGTGTGAAATGAAAAAGTCAAAATGAAACAAAGTGACAACCACGTAATTTGAATCGCAGTTTAACAAAGCACATATACACCCTTGGGGCCAGTCTGCCGCAAGCATCCCCAAATTTCCTCTCTCACCATCCTGACTCTTTGTGGGGTCGTGTACACCAGTCTGAGTGCTGCCCAAGCAGCGGGAGTAGTGGGAGTCTTAGGGACTGTGTACGCTGACATCAAGTTCTGCTTCCTTTGTCAGGCACACTGATATTGTTCTGTCTTTCCAAACTTACAGCTACGTGTTGTGAAAACCTCACTTGTTTTGTCGACTACGTTCAGACCCTGTCCTGCGTCCTGAGAAACGACTGGGGTGCCGGTTCGTACAACCTCACTGCAACATGGTACGTGTCCGTAGGATGAGCAAGGTGCAGTCAGCAGGAACGTGGCCATAGCACAGTGGTCATTCTCTCCTCTTTGTAAGGTAGAACTGCTCCTGCTGCCATGCTGGTCTCCCTTGGTGCCTCACACTGTGGTTAGCAACTGGCTTCTCCCCAAGCAAAAGATCCTGGTTCCTGTGCCCGCTGGCTGTACCGCTTGCCACCGACGGCTACACTGACTGGCTTCCACGGCGTTGTTTTCCCTCCCGCCCTGGGCATACCTTGCCCTTTGCTGTTAACAACGGACTTTCCCTTGTGTGCTGGCAGGGCTCCGGCAGCTCATCCAAGCCCCGTACAGCTGCTGTTCAGCCCCAGCAGGGACGAGGGTAGAGCCATGGGCTGTGGACCTTTCCTTTCCACAAACACTCCAGCGCTGCTGCCCTTCTTCTCCCAGAGATGCTAAGCTGAGCGAGTAGAAGGAAAAAAATCTGTCAAAGTTGGAAGAGAAATGTTTATTTGAAGGTGTTGCCCCTTTTTTCTTATGAATTACTCTGCCTGGTGGTTCAGCCACAGATCAGTCCAACTACAGCAAGTGGTAGATGTGGACTTGTTTGTTTTTGGTGGTTTTAGGGTCCCTGAGGAAGATCCAGAAAATACCGTGGCTGCCTGCAGTCTCCTGCAGTTGTCCAGGAACACCAGTCACACGCAGTACGTGTGCACTGTGGACATGACTGTGCTCCTGGCAGATACCAAAGTCCAGGTGGATGCTACAGCGGCAGCGGACAGGCAGCACGTGATTTCCAAAGGCTTTTATATGGCAGAGAACAGTAAGTAAAAAATGGTGGATTTGATCAATACTGTCTGACCTGGCCTGTCTGCCAGGACAGTCTGGGCATGGAGTGAGTTTGGCCAGCGGTGGGGGCTGTGTTTGGTGTGCTCTACCCAGAGCACTGTCCTTTTACTGTTGCGACAAATCACAGAGACATTCATGCTTGAGGCTGAGCTTAGCGCTGGCTTGGCCCCAGCCTTTTCATGGGAAAAATCCTTTTCTGCCTGAAGCAGAAGATAAATTTTCACCTTAGACCAGTCTTCTACCTAGGCTATGCAAGTGTGTGTTCTCGGCTGCGAGCTAAAGGGTAGGAGGAATTGCTTTAATTGCAAATGCCACAGATGATGTCCTCACAGGAGTGCCAGGACACTCTTGCAGTGGACACCTGAACCACCATGGCGTTACTGTGGGTGGCACAAGGTGACACAGTGGAGGTGGCAATTGCTAATCATCCGCATGACAGGAAGGCAGGGGGCAGTCTTAGAGCTGACTGGGCAGAATGCTGGTGTGTCCCGAGCTGTGCAGCGAGCTGAAGAACAGGGTGGTTAGCCAGGAGACAGGGCGTGAAAAAGGATTTTTCTACTGGGATCCTTCTGAAATTAAATTTCACATGAGAAGTGCCATCGTTGACCAAGGCCGTAACGCTGCAGGGAAGCCCCTGGTCCCCACTGGCAGACTGTCGATGGGGTGGTGGTGCTTTGCATGTCCCTTGATGTCCTCCTGCGGAGGCATCACAGCTCAGTGACGGACCCTGCGGACCAGCGCTGGTGTTCGTGCCCTGCTGCTTTTCAGTAGATGGAAATACCCTGTGGGTACAAAAGCTTGCCTTTGAGGCACGTGTGACACACGGATTTGCACTGGGTTTATGCAGTGTCCACCAGCCTCAGCTTTGCCCAATGTCTCTGACATGGAGGGGTATTTCCCTCACTGCACCTGACCATGACTACACCCAGCCCTCCGGGGTCATGGGAAGAACAAGGTGCTCTGCTCTTCACATCTCCCAGGAGGCACCACCTCCCCGTGCTGTTTTCTCCTGCTCCTTAGGTGATGAGGGGGCTCAGAGACAGGCAGAAGACCTGTTCAGAGAGATGTGGGCCAGACTGTACTGCTGGGGTGTGAGGCTGCAGGCATGGCTCAGGACTGCTCAGCCTGAGGAGCAAGAATGTCATGGATGTTCTCCTGCGTAGGAGGGCCCACCCCTGCCAGGGCATGCCCCCTACTCGATTTGCACTGCTGGTACCATGCTGGGCCTCCTCTTGCCTGCAGTAATGTTATGAAGGGTAACACCATCCTGTTTTCCAGTCAAGCCGCAGCCTCCATTCAATCTGACTGCTGTGGTCTCAGAGGGTTACAATATTTCCTGGGAAACCAACTACCAGAGCTCTCCGTCCCACTTTCTGAATGAGGAGCTGGAGTATCAGCTGCGTTACAGGAGAAGGACCGACACCTGGGAGGTGAGTGAGATGTCAGTTGAGCATCAAGTGGGACGTACCAGCAAAGAGGAGGCCAGCACAACCAGGAGAGGAGTGCTGGTGTGGAAGAAGGGTTTTCAGGGTTTAGCAAAGATGTCTCTTTGCTTACCTGGACTGAAATCAGGCAAACCCAAAAAAAGAATCGAGAAGCAGAAGCTGCTTGAGAAGTACTAGATCCTGTGGGGAAGTCTGATAGTTCACTTGGTTTTCATGCTGCCCTGCACGAAGGATCCCCAAGGGCCCGTGCAGCTTCTGGCCAGGCTGAGAAGGAGGGGTGTACCCCTCCACGGCCCTGCAGAAACAGCGTGCAAGCAGAGGATGTTTGCTCTGCAGGGCTCCTTGCTGTGCAGCAGTGGGGGTGAGGTGGGGGTGAGTTGGGCACAGTCACTCCAGCCCTGAGTGTTTGGTGTTTATTCACAGACTCAGAAGAGTAAGGCTGTCCATGAAGATAAGCGGACGCTGGTGATCCTGCCATGGGAGCTCCAGGCGAACACTGAGTACGAGTTCCAAGTGAGAGCCAGACCCCGAGAAGACACTGGCTACCATGGATTTTGGAGTGAATGGAGCACTCCACTGACCCTGAAAACCAGCCCTGCCGGTACCTACTACCAGCTCTCCTTGCCCTTCCAGTTGGTCCAGTGTCAGAGAATGCTTCCAGAGCTCCAGGCAAACCTGAGCCCAGGCCGGGCTGATGTGTGCTGTCTGATTGCCCTTCTGGCTGAGTTTCAGAGCCTGCCTTGCAGCATGGCCATGGGAAGAGGGTCTGGTGGGGTTGGCTCGAGGTTTGGGTGTCACAGTAGGAGTGCAGCCTCTACGTTCCTTTCCACTGCCAAATGTCCAGGGTCCTGCTTGCAGCTTTCAGAATTGGGGGAGATCTAGTAGAGGTGCCTCCACTACTGGGGCTCAGTATTGCCTTCAGCTGAGGGGAGAGGGGAGCCCGCTGTCAGGGTTCAGTTCTGTGTCTGGGCCCTGATGTGTGGCCATGCTGGGCATGGGTGCGTGTTTTGGTAGCCGCCGCTCTCACCCCCCAGCAAGTGCACAGTACCTTATGCGGAGCAGTACACCAGTGCTTGTCATGGTGGCACAGTGACAATGAAAACAGTCTCTGTTCAAACAGAGCGGGGCAGGATGGCTATGGTCGGTGGCAGCAGCATGTGCCGAGCTTCCCTGCTCTTGCTGATGTGTGAAATGGTGCTGTGGCAGCAGGGTCAGGCTCCATGTGCTAAGGGTTGTCTGAGTTCTGGGTCTCAAAGGTGCATCTCTCCATCCCAGGCAGAGACCAGCTAGTCAGCACCTTTCCTTCAGCTGCACTCTCTTCACCTCATGAGTCACCTCTGCAGTGTCCCCAAACCAGGAGCCAAACTCCAGGGAGTTGTGCTGCCGTAGGCATGTGAGCCGGTGGTCGGTGGTGCAGCCAGGCCGATGGGCAGCTGATGCTCGTTCCAGTGATGCCATCTGAGCATCCGCAGTCAGACCTCGTGCCTGCTGTGCTGGGCCCCAGGTGACAGCCCCAGTGACCCTAAGAGAAAGGCTGGGGTAGAAACTGGGGGTCTCATCACCATCTCCTGTTCGTTGCGCAGGGTGGAAGCGCAAGGTGAGCCTGAATAACCCTCTCTCTTTCTTCAGCAGTGACACCGGCAGCAGGCGTGGGATGGCTGCTGCTGCTTGGTGTTGTTGTGGCAATCACCGCCTCAGTCGGGACCTTTCTGGGCAGACAGCAGAGGTAAGAATGCTTCAGGAAGCAGGAGTAAACGCTCCTGGTCTGGCTTCCTGAAGTTGGGGTTCACATGCAGCCCCTGTTTCATCTTGGGCACCCCTGCGTGGCTGCAGCCATGGACTGGGAGGGCCAGCAAAGCGCGGCCTCCAGCCCCTGTGCTGCCACGGGCCTTCCAGCCCCTGTGCCGCCACGGGCAGCGCGCTCTTCTCCGGGCCTCTGCCACCTTCCAGCCTGCCGGGCCGGGCAGTGGCACACGGGGACAGAGCGTGGACACCCAGCCTCCTGTTCCAGTCCTGTGGGTGCTCGGCAGATGCCGGAGGGGCACCATGGCCAGGCCTGCCCCCTTCCAAAGCTGACACAGGCCCCCGTTTCGGGAGCTCGGGTGCCCTCACAGAGGGATGGGCTGCACGGGAGGGCTCTGGGCCGGTGTGGCAACAGGCCTGCACGCCACAAACCAGCCCGGCTGGGGAGGGAGATGCATTTCCAGCACTCGATGCTTTTCCAGGCAGGAAAAAATTGGAACCTCTTTCCTTAGCGTGACTGCTGTGTATGCAAGTCCTGAGCGCCGAGGCCCCACCTCCTGTGAGGTTCGCTGAGGCCGTTAGATGGCTCTGACGGCACAAGGCATCCTCCGCTCCTCAACCACTTGCTCTTTTGCGGGGTCAGGGGGGCTGGGCCGACGGTTTCGGCCACCTGAAGTGGATCTGGAAATGCCCTGCTGTGCATCTGTAATGTGTGCTTAACCCCAAAGCCTTCCTCTTTTCTCTTCCAGCCTGTGGAAGAAGATGGCTTGCATCCCAGACCCTGCTTCCTTTTTCAAACCTCTTTACCTGGTGCATAATGGAGATTTCAAGGTATAAAATGGGCTACACACGGCAAAGTTAACTGAAAAGGCCCGTCGTGCTGTCCTGGGCAAGAGATTCTCATTAGGGCAGTGGGAGGGGGGATCTGTCTCAAGGGAATGCCAAACAGCTCCAGATACAAGGACCAGAGCTCTCCAGTGTCTGTTCTGTGCCAGGAAAGCCTTTATGTCACATCTGTATTGCTTATTCCCTGTAGGTGCTGTCTCAGGGGGTGAGCTGAGCGCACATGTGGTTCGTGAAGCCTGGGAACCTGAAGGGTGTAGATAGAGGGATACCAGGACAGCATCTGGGATCTGTCCAAAGCTCCAGTCCCACTCTGCCTTCAAGGCCATGGAGCAGACCTCATTGTAGAGCCAGATCTCTCACTCCAGCCTCTGCAGTGGCACAAGCTCGACATTTAAGCCTTGTCGCTCTCTCGGCAGAGTCACTCATACAGACAATATCAATGTACATCATCCTGTAAAGACGGCTGCAGCCCTGGGAGCAAGTAACTGCTGTGTGATAGTGCAGTGCAGCTGTCTTTGAGCAACTTGGCCTAGCCCTCCCACATTTAACACTAGCCACACTTGTTCATGTGACAAAATGGTTTGCAGAGACTGCGGAGATTGGGGTTCTCAGGATACAAAAGTGAAAAAGAACATTGAGTATCCATAAATAAAGGTTGTATGAAGCTGAAGAGCAACTCTGAAAGCCATTATCAAGCTGTAACAGTGCTGGCATGCGAGTGCAGGCTGCCCTTCTGAACAAGTTCCTGCTAGAGCAGCACCTGTCAGAGACACTTCGATGTCTGGTTTTTGGTTCTGCTGTGTCTTAGCTCTTCTGGGAGAGGGGCACCACCTGGAACATCTTGATGTACTTTCCCACTGCTGCATGCTGGTGTTTGCAGTCAGGTTAAGCCAGCAGCCTTGGACGGGTGCCATTCGGGCTGAAGCCGGCTGTGGCTGTCGCGCTTCCTTCCTGCCTTCCTCTTTCAGCCCTGTTACGCTTCCCATATCTGCACTGGAGGGGTATTTGCAGCCTCTTGTGAGGCAGGTGGCACTGGTTACTCACAGGGAAAGGAACCAGGACCAGGTGGATTTGGTGTGGGAATTGCTGCGAGCCAAGGGCTAGCACTTAGCATGGAGGCGAGAGCACTCGCCATGCCGGGAAGCCACGCTGCTCTCCGGGAAGCCGTGGGGTCCTCTGTTCTGTGGGGATGACGTTCTTGCTAGTGTCTAGTGAGGCTGTTCAGCGCTGCTGGGAAGGGAATGAGCCTCAGTGCCTACAGCTGAGTTACTTCTTAGTAAATGTGAAGATTAAAGCAGCAGTTGCCCACACAGGCACAGCACAAGATGCGCAGGCAGGGGATGTCGGAGGATGTGGTGATATCTCTTAATATATGAACAGACTCGTCGTTTTGGCTGGCAAGAAACCAGCTGCTGTAGGGCTCATTCCACAGCATCCTACCCGCATCAGAGCGAGCGGTTAATTATGTCCGTGAGTAGTAATAAGCTAATTACTGTAGTAATGCTCTGCAGACAACAGGCTTGGATTGGGCAGGAAGCAGTGAAAATGTTAGAGGAAAAGTTAAGACATAAGAAGAGAAGGGAAAGCAGAAAAACACTGTTTTGTGTGTACATGGGGCCTTAGATTCATGTTGGGAGGGAATTTGCAAAGAAGTATTGAGGGAATAGGAAATATTCTGCCTGTTCAACCCTAAGAAAGAGATTTTCTGCTGTTTCTTCAAATACCTTTTGCACCTCAGATGCCTTTCTGTCCACTGCAGCTTTAATAATGAGCTCTTTGTAGCTTAGGTTAAAAATATACTGAATAGACTTGGTGCTTCTTGATGTTTCCATGCTCCGTGTCAGAGCGTAACAGGCTGTGTCAAGCTGTTCTCTTCCCAAACACTTTGCTCATGTCTACCTGGAGTGCAGTTTGGGACAGGAGGCTGACGTGACTGGGGCAGTCTGAGAGCCAGTGCAACACCCAGCTCTCGCGCCTCCACAGTGTGAAGCTCAGCCTTGTTGCCTGTTGTACACAGGGCAGAAAGCGGTGCCTTGACCCAGCTCAGCCATTTGGCGAGTGTCAGAGAGGGAGCAGAACCGAGTTCTGAGCCTGTGCTGTGCCCAGCCTCTGTACTGCAGAATACTCTAGGAGGACCTGCCAGTATCACTAGCAGCACATGCCTCAAGTTTGCTGTGATCTCAGTGTCCGATTCGGTGACTTCTTCAAAAAACCAGGAACTTGCACTTTGTTCTTAGATCCAAGAAACCCAGAGGTGCCTTTACTCCCCGATGTCAGTAAATGCAAGGGGACCATGATAAAGATAATGATACAGGGGGCAAGATTCAGTGTGTGGCACCCCCTAATCACCTGAGTGCTACCTGCAGCAGGTGGTGGCTACAGGTCTTTGAGGTTCCCACCCCCTGCCAACCCACCTCCTTCTTGTCACTGTGAGAGAAAAGGCCGGCCTGGGGCATGGTTGCGTACAAAGACAGGTAGGGAGAAGCCTTGCCCTGACCCCCTTCCCAGGGAACTGAGGTGAGGGAGGTGACAGAGCAGAGCTCTGGGTGCAGATGCAGCACATGGGGAGAAGCTGACCACCCTTCCTGAGAGAAGCAGTGTCCAGGACAAGAGAGCAGGGGAGATGTGGTGGCTTGGGAAGTGACCTCTGGCTGATGCATGATGGAATGCTGCTATGGGCAGTGGCATTCTTTGCAGCGTAGAGAAAACTGCAAAGCCATGCAAACCTCTCAGGGCTAATTATTTTCCATTAGTTGACTCAGTTCTCCTACAGCTGCCTGTGTCTGGTGGTAATAGCATCTCGTACCCTGCTATTTTGGAGGGGTTCGGGATTTTAGAGTTTGACTTTGCCTCTAAAAGCCTAAGAACTTTGGCAGTTTCTGTGGAACCACAACCCTGACGATGCTAACCTCTCTGCCTGTTTGTCCTTTTACGCAGAAGTGGGTTGGCGCATCCCATGCGAAAATAACTTTTGATTTCTTTGAATGGGGAATAGTCCTTCCAGAAGCCCTAGAAGTTTACACCACGCGTGGTTCCAACAGCACCTCCCAGGAGGATCTGCACGAGCTGAGGAAAGAGCTGCCTTGCAAGCCCTGTGTGTCTTGCCTGACTGCCCCGGGGCAGGACAGCCAGTCCCTGCTGTCCAGTGTGAACAGTAGCAGTGGGGCTCGGGACCAGTCATACGGGCATTTGTCCATCCATACTGTGACTGTGGCCAATGAATTTACACCTTGCAACTGCCAGTGCAACTGTGACGGTGTGTACGGGGAACGTGAGCATCCCAGCGAGGAAGATAGTGCTGGAGAAACTGGTTACCCCAAGGTTAATGTTGACGATGAAGACAGAAAGACGTCCAGTGACCTGCACCTGGCTGACCTGAGCACGCAGGACAAAATACTTGCTTCAGGCTCTGTGTCCACAGACCGCCTGAGTACGAGTGTCCCAAATCACCAGCAGGTAGAAGGGGCTCTGGAAGGAGGGATGGGAAGCATCCTAGAAGCCCTTTGTTTGCAGCTGAGTCAGTGGGATTTGGAAAACCCAGCATCTCTACCTTCTCCTGATGGTGAAAGTGTTTCCTCCAGTGAGGGTTCCTGTGACTTCTTCCCTCACAGTGCAAGGCCCAGTGACAGTTACCCCATGATCTGTGTAGATTTGGACACTATTGACAGTGGCTTTGTGGACTCAGACTGTGGGAGTCCAGTTGACTGTGAATTTGAGCAGAACAGTCAGAACAACTGTGGGTCCACTCCTCTGGAGCGGGAGGGGGAGGACTTTCCACGGAGCTACGTCAAGCAGTGGGTCTCCTGCCGCTCTGACAGCCCTGCCAGCGGGACACAGACAAACTGAGGACTTGACGTTGTGCCGCAGCCTGTGGATCCTGTTCCGTACTGTCCTGGAGCAAAGTGTCAGCAAAGTCAGAAGAGAAACCAGTTTATTTTGTCTAAACTATGGTGTGTGCAACTAAAAACTGTTAGGTCTGTAGGAGAATACGCCTGTTTCTGTTGCCACTTACCCTGTCAATGTCTCAAACTTAATGTGATTGCTTTTTTTTTTGATCCTAGGTCAAACCCCTTCGTACTGGCAATAATGGCAGAAAAACAACTGTACCTTGAAAATTACCCTTTAGCTTATGTAAATGTGCAATTTTGATTTTTTTGCCAGTAGCCTTATAAAGAGTACAGAACTTCACATGATTTTCCCTGGTATTCTCATGACTTGAAAGTTCGGCCGTACGTGGAATCCTCGAAGCATAACCTACAGCAAGCTTTGTTACATTCATGTTCCCTTACCCTTTCCAAACAAGGGTGGTGTTACTTTTCCTACTGGGACCTGTGGCTCTTTAAACCCAGCTGTAATGGTTTGTTATGGAGGGTCCCAGCCCTGTCCGTGGGGTGTGGTAAGCGAATTCCCATGTCGTCAGCACAGAGCTGTGTCCCAAGACCTGGTCGGCTGCAGTTCACAGGTCAGTAGCACAAAAGTCAAGAAGCTGACCCGGAAACTGCTGTTTGCACTGTAACTGTGGTTGTTTCCTTCTGACATCTCTGTCGCTGGTTTGTTTAGGATAATTATCTTTAAAGTTACTGTGATAGTGATGCTGAATGTGAAGCCCCACATCTTATGTGGGCACAGTGCTGCTAGCCCCTGGGCTGATGGCTCCGGAAGATCTTACGCTGAGAGAACCTTTGTGGCTAACGGTGAGTTTCCAGTGCAGTAATAGTCTGGTGTTGCTCTGATGCAACTCTCCTCCCTCTCCCCCAGCTCTTGCCAATCCCCCAGCTCCCTAAACAAGAGGCAGCGCTGTAACGGGGAGAAGCTGTTTCTTTCACAGGTGAGTGCTGGGAGAGTTTCTCTGAGCGGCCAGATCCCTGGTTGGATTTTTGGGACAGCCGTGGTCTCTGCTGCGTTGATTTTGAACACACAGGGCTCAGCTTTGCCCATATTGTTATTACTCCCTCAGCATATCCCTAGCTCAGGGGCTCCCTGGGTGCTGCTATGAGACGTTATTTTGGTTTCTTCCCACCTGATTTCCCACTTTCCTGCTGTGACCTGACCTCGTGGGAGGTGCTGTCCTGGCGTGGGTGTGCGCGCTCCCGGCAGTGCTGCCAGCAGCCCGCCTGCCCTCCACGAGGCAGCAGCAGACCAAGCCAGCTTCGCGTCCTCGATGAGCTGAGCTTGCCCGCGCTGCGTCCAGGCAGATGTCCTGGGCAGAAGCATCGCTGGTGGGCTGTAACAGTCTGCAGCTTCATCTTGCTCCTCAGAAACAGCATTGTGCTGTCTGGCCGCGGGCTGCCTAAGGGACGAGGGGAAGCTCGCCTGTCTTTCGAGCACCCTTCTACGTCTCAGCTCGGCACTCTCCTCGTTTCTGTAGTATCGTTGGCCCAGAACTGCTGAAGGGGCTGTTTCTGCCGTTGCTACGCTGTCTCGCTGCACATCTGGTAGAGGGCGGTGGTTTGCTGCTCTGTTGGGCTAGAAGTTGTCTGCGGCCACCCTGGGCGGGCAGAGAAGAGCTTGTGTGTGGCGTGAGGGACGCTGCGGCCTTTGAAGCAACCTCTACCAGTTACGCTTTTGGCCACCGAGTTGTTGACGCTGTGGATGTGGAGGGGTTTGAAGTGGGTATTTTTCTGTGGCTTCTGGCAGCAAACTGCTCATGCCCTGACCTAGCAATATCTCCTTTGGAAAACGTGTGTTTCCCCAGGAGTGCTAGGGCCGGTGGTAGCATTGCAAGCCCACGTGTTGTTGGTTTTTGGGAGGCCGCCCCTGCCTTCAAACAAGCTGTCTCTGAAAGGTCTCACTCCACCCTTCGTGACCTCAGTAACCCGCAGTGGCTGATTCCTGAACAGCAGCGTGAAGCACAGGAAAGAGTTATGATAATAGTGTGGTAAAGGCGTTCGTGTCAGTGCTTAGAGGACCAGGGCTGGCAAGAGGCAGCCGAAGCCCTTCCCTGTGGAGGATTCTGCTTTGCCACTCCTATCTCGCTCGCTGCCACCAGATGATCTGCCTTCAGACTGCCCTGCACGGGTGAGCTGCTCACACGCCGAGACGCGGGTGGGGTCATCAGAGAACGCCAGCAGCGCCAGGCCTGCGGACTGAGCCCGTAGATGGCTGCGTGCTGCTGTGCCGCGCAGTGTTCACAGCCATCAGGGACATGAGAGCACGCTTCAGGTGTTGCACTTCCCAAAACAGTGTCTTTTTACTGAGGGACTTGATAAGCAGAGGGAAGGAGAATGGTCAAATCTCTGATTCTTGAGTGACAGCATGATCTGGATACAGAAGTGGTTGTGGACTGTAGTACTGACCATCCACTCTGATAGACAAACCATGTGTTCATTAGCCAAGCGTAGGAGCAGGTAGACACAGATATCCTAGTTCATATGAGTCTATCTGAGGCTATCTCAGGCTCAAAAATGTGCTTTATTGTACAAGTCAAGGAATGCAGCACAGACAGAGCAAGTGCTACAAGTCCCAGAAGCTTCCACTGTAAGGTGATGCTTCTCCTATGTACTATGTTTGCCTCTAGTGATCCGAAACCAGAGGAGATACCAGAACAAAGGCATTTGGTACTGGGCTGACAGTAGACGAACAGCGGATGCCTATCCAAATGGAGCACTTTGAACAAAACAAAAAAGACACACCAAACAAAACAAACAAACAAAACCCCTTCAAGGTAGATGCAACTTAAATCGCCTGGTGAGAAACGCTGCTCACCGATGGAAGCTGACTGTGGGACGGGGTAAGTGGGTCCTGGGAATCATGACAGAAGGGTCTCAGTGGCCTTTGGAGAGCAGGAGCTCAGTTAATGGTCTCTGGGCTGAGCGGCACTGGGGGCAGGGGGAAGTATGGAAAAAAGGCATCTTGCAGAGAGCTGTGATGTTCTTGTCAGAAATACTGCTCCACGTTTGGAATAGTAATACCGGAGGAAACTGGCAAAAGACGTTTGTGTTTTGCTGTTTGAGCCAAGCTGCTGCTGGGCGGGTGTGCTGCTGGTTCCATCTGGCCTGCAGGCAGAATATGGCAAAAGCCGAGGGTCTCGCACAGCCGAAGCATCTTTACAGTGACCGACGGCAGTGGGCTGGGGCGATGCAGGGATCAGGAGATGATGTTTGCTGCTGCAGCAGCAGACCACAGGCATCTGGGCAGTGCTGGGGCAGCAGCTGTTACTTGCTTAAATGGTACTCTGAAGGCTGCTTGTATTGCAGGGGCTTTCTGTTTCTGCTCCCGCTGAGGACTACAACTACAAAAAGTGTAACACACCCTCAGAAGGGTAATGGGGCCTCCTGGGAGATGGCCGGAGTCTCACTCGATGGGGGAGGCCCCAAGGCAGATATTGCAAGCAGCACCATAACCCAGCCTATAGTTCCAACCTGGAACATCTGTCCCCTTTCCTGCATGGCCCTGGCCTTCTGTCTCTTGGCCCCTGAAGTTAATACCAGCAGACTCTTACTCAGCCTGTGCTTTGCCTGCTTCTGCCCTGGCACTAGACCCGTGTAGAGCTGACCTGATGGACCTGAGTGAAGCACGACCGCTGCGGCATTGCAGCTGGGTACGGAAAGAACTGCTCCTTACATGCTCTAGGATGTGGCGATGGAAGCACTGCAGTTGTTCTTTGAGTGCAGCACAGCAGCAGGCTGCAGAGGGAGTGCGGGATGGGGCAGGGATGCCTCGGGAGTCTGAGCAGAGTGGGGCAGAGCCTTGGGTGGAAGCAGTCTTCCCTCGCGTTCAGACAGGGCTAGGAAACCCTTTGGGGCACTTCAGGAGCTGTTCTGTTGACCCATTTATACCAATGTTTCAAAAAGATACTTTTATAATCAGAAAATCACTTGGCCTTTGAGATGTTAACCCTTTAACAGAAATTCCTCAGTTTCTCCATCACTAATGAGTAATTGCAGATGCAGCTACTTTAACTCAATCTGATAATCTGAGCGGTTTTCATTGGTTCTTGAGATTATCTTTAAAATCGGGCACAGTAAGCTCTACTTTATTATGCCACTGCTGCTACTGCCTGCTCATCAAACCACACAGCCCAGACTACCAAGGGACAGAAGCAGTGCAAAGAGCGAAGTTTCCTTCGAGCTGGTAAGACAGTTTGACGTATTTCTGTGCTACGCATGCCATAAATAACGATAGGATACGTCTGTTGAGCTAAGATATTGAAAAATAATTTCTTTACCTAAATGTGGAATTCTGTATTGTTTCTTGTACTGGGAACCTAGAACAGTGAAAGCACCAGAAGGATCTTTGCGCTGTTGTTCTGCTAGATTGCTGCGCACAAACCCACACGAGTTCTGCTATGGATTGTGCTAGAAGGAGGCACCGTTGCGAACAAACCGATCTTAAGTGCTCCTGTCTGACATTAAGAGATGAATGTAAATCAGTCCAACCAAAACAGCCCTCAGTGTTTGGGACTTTGCAGACAAAAATACGTTCACTGATGTGTATCTGCACATACCTACAGCTGTGTGTGTATGAAGGTCACTTTATTACAGTAGTCCTCCTTTGCAGCAGCTTTTTTTTCAGCCTCTGGGATTCAAGTCTGTCAGATCTAAAAGTACATAGCTGTCCATGAGCATCAAACTGTGGAAAAATGGCTCTCCAAAGACAAAGGGAGGAAAAGTCTGGTTATACAGGGTTCTCTCTGACAATCTGTGCCGATGAGGAAATCCTACCTCTCCTTCCTTGTTCCCCAGCCGTTCGCATGCCGATCACGCGAGTCTCCTGTGTGCACTTGACATGCTTCTGTCCGACGCATGCTTAGGGCCTGGGTGTTCAGGAGTTACATCACGTGTCATTAATTTTTCATACAGGACTTACAACATGTTTTCTTGTAGGCAAGGATGATTGAAGGAGTGCCCATGATAAATTA